TTGTCTGCCAACCTACAAATGCTGTGGTACTGCTTGCTTTGATTAGGTTCAATGTTAAAATACAACATTTGTGGGTTGGCGCACTAGAGACTAGAGCATAGGTCATAGAAACAGGATAGATATGGCGGAGACTAGAGCTAGTTGGCTAACACCAGGCCTGTTTTACAATAGACGTGGTTCCTGAGGGAGAGGCTTGACCAAGAGAATTAGACAGGCGTTTTAGCCAAGAGTTAGTCTCCCTAACGCAGAGTGTGAGAAATAACGCCTCGAGTAGCGTAGATTGGGTGGCAGAGATCAAGTGAAATACTTGAACCAGTAAGATTGGAGATGGATCATACTGGGCAAGAGGGAGATTCTGATCAACATTCCAAGCACAAGGTTGAGGGGGTGAGAAAGCCAGCATGAAGTATGAAGAGTTCCCATGAGAGCGCTTATAATGGCACACCATACCACATTTAAATAAGCAAGTAAAAAAATGTGATAGTGAAGATGTGATACGAGGATATAGGATTGGTGATAAGCCCAGGGCGGAGGGAGATACCACGATTTTTTAGCAGACAATTAGTCAAAGAATCGGCTTCCTTTGTCTCTTTGACGACTTTGACGAGTTGTAATGTGGTGTTAATAACGGCAAGACTCACTAATGATGCCAGCGAAACGCCTGGGAATATACCACGTCCACTCTCCAACTCTGGAAATTATCACGCATACAATGGACCCCGCACTAGGTGCGTTCATCTAAGCCTTCCTACCAATATGACCAAGCTGCGAAACAAAGGCCAAACAATTTCTAAAACAGCTTTGTACTACACTCAAGTGCCGACAATTAATTTGAAATCCAAGACGAGAAAACACCATCCTATATAAGCAAACAGAAAGGAAAAGCCTAGATGCAAACTCTTTCTACATATATAAATGATTCAGAAACCAAGGAGGGGTATTTAATATAAAACATCTTAATGTGTCAAAAGAGAATGGTGGAGGCATTTCATTTTAGAGGATGCCTTTGTAAATTATGAAAAAGAAATTAAGAACTGTTCACAGAATTACAAGAAAAAATAATTAAGACCAAGATAGTTCGCTCGTCAAAGTGACCTCTTCAAGAAATAAACCTGATGACATCGTGGTAATCCATTGAACCTTCATAGCCTGTATCCGCAGTTACACCGATGATGGCATGATGAGACACCAATCCGAATTAGCTGATCTGAATAAATCGCAAAACTACAAGATAGGTGAATAATGCCAATATGCTCTCTACGCCTGGCGTGTAACGTTATCGGAACGTTAAGACAAGTGCTTGGACAAGAATTCAGAGCTTGATAAATTCCATAGAAAGAATCCTATAAGCCTGTGAAGAATATACTGGGGTAAAGGAAACCAAGTATAAGCATTCAACAGTGAAAACTAATAAAATATATAAAAATATACTGAAATAGCGCCTGAATGAGCTATTCTGATAAGTAAGCCATACTTTAAGAGCAATTAGGATAAACTAAGACCACTTGAATTTTGGATGACTAAATCACTTAAGATCAAATTCAAACGTAGGTTCACCGTCGTTCACATTGAAAAGACTGCGAATCGTAATAACTTTGAAACGAGTATTATAAGTTAGCCAGTCATGGGAAAGAAAGACACCTTGTTGAGGTCCAACATTCTTCCAGTATATTTTCTCGCCAGGAGAAATGGGCTTTGCAGGCCCAGAAGGGGACCTGTAGATAACACTATCTTCCGACACACCTATCTCCCATTCGGCCCAAAATGCGACTCCATTAACGAGCTGGTCAGACAGGGATAGTTCAAGAGTCAGGTCGCCCTGGCTAATCGAAACAGATCCGTCAGGTAGTATGAAGGAATTAAGCTCCTTTGAGCAAAGTAACGGGGGCTTTCTTAAGTTCAGCTCGAAAACAAGACTGGGTCGGGACCTAGCGACCCCATGGTATTGCCACAAAGGTTGGGGTTCAATAACCGCATCGACATCCAGGTATGCCGACTGGATTAGCTGGTCTAAGTTAGTCAAGTCAAAGCCCTCACAATCGGTTCCAACAGGAGCTCTAATTTTCCACAAGTCACTAAACTGGACAGCAACAGAGTAAATCCGTAGAGCAGTGGGAGTGGCTAAACAAATCTCGAAGGGTAATTCTGATTTCAATTTGGCAATGAAATACCAGAAGGATAGTGCATTCCAGGGCAAAATAGAAGAGGAGAAAGAGGGCTCAGTTACAAAAATAACGCGAGAAGGCTGTTGACGTATCAGTTCCTCTATAACCTGATCTATTGACTGGTGTAGGCAGACGCAGCTATACCTCTTGGAACTAGCATACAAACGGCCCAGAAACCGAGAAGACAGAGATGAATCTAGATGATGAACGAAATGAGTTTCTCCTTTGAGATAATCAGCCAGCATCATAGGAAGGAAGGAAGCGTCGGAAATGACGACAATCGCAGAATTATGACCAGGAGAGAGAAATGAGACTGTATGCTTTAACAAGGTTGTCAACTCTTCATTGTAACTCTTTGTATTGATTTCTGCCAACCGTTGCCGAGACCAAGAGATGTGGAGACCGCATGTGCATACAGGTGGATCCTCTGGTTTACAGTAAGCTCCTTTTAAAGCACTTTCGACTTCATCGTCACCGCCAAGCAAACCAGTTTGACAGGAAATACCTACCAGACCGAACCACATGGAAAAGGTGTCGCGGGCATAAGTGACGGAGAATTCCTGACCCGTCACAAGAGGAAGTTGATTTACAGGAAAGTAAACTGCTTGCATCCAATGCTCACGCCATGAAATGTCTGGGTCAAGTGTCCAGTCGGGAGCGATGCTGATATTGGAGACGGTACCTGTCGGCTCCATCTGAAGAGTCCACCAGACAACAAGGGCATGAGCACAGCCGGAACTAGTAGCTCTGACTAGGTGATTAATTGGAGGACGGAATGGAAAAAAATAAGGGTAATAATTAATATATTTGAT